GAGATCAGAGGGGTTATCAAATTGAGGAATGAGGAGTTATCAAATCAGGAAACAGAGGGGTTATCAAATCAGGGATCAGGGGAGTTATCAAATCAGGGGATGAGGAGTTATGAAATCAGGCAATGAGAGGCGTTATCAAATCAGGGGATGGTAGGGGTTTTCAAATCGGGGGATGAGAGGGGTTATCAAATCATGGATCAGAGCTGTTATCAAATCCAACCCGAGCTCAGATAAAGCCCTGGGAGAGGAGGAGCTGCAGCATTCACACCTGGATTTGATTTCCCCAGGATTATTCCCACTGTAGATACTTGCCCTTCCCTGACAGGCTGAGTCAATGTGAAAAAAATGTCCCTTTTTTATTATTATTTTCAAACCTACCTCCAAATTATCTGGAGTCTAAGATCTCTGTAATTCCCTGTCATGGAAAAAGCAAAGTCCTGGTGTGTGCCTGGTTTGGGATGGAGGGAAGGAGCAGCCTCTGGATCCAGGAARGGCTGGCATTTCTCAGCCAGGTGAGGGGAATTAAGAACACCTGAAGCTTCTGCTGCTTCCAGCAGCTGAATTTTGCCCTGACCTTCAATTTCAYCYKGGGGAAACTCAGAAATTTTGCTTTCCAAGGTCAAACCTCATTTTAACCAGCACCTTTCCCTGTGAACTCCTCACATTCTGCATCCCTCGCTCTTTTGGACAGGAACCCCCCGTGTCCTCCTGACACAATTTATTCCTGTTTAACTCAGACACCCGAGGATTCCCGACCATCCCCGGTGCTCCCAGCCCCGCTTTTGCCGGGACCCCACTGCTAACGGGGTGGTGATGGCTCATTGCACCCCGGGAACGCGATGTTCCAGTGGCTCTCCAAGGAAAAACGGCCAGGAAGCTGATTAAAACCCTCGACCTGCTCAGCAATTCGCTCATTTATTTGTTGTTCTTCCTCAAAAAACACGGCAGAAGTAATTGGGCTCCCCGCAGGTTTTGGGAAACAAAAAGCAGGTTTTTCAGAGCAGGTTTTTCTCGGAGCTCCCGCAGAAACAAATTGTGCTTTTCCCCGGCCTGGGGTGACATTTGCTGCACAAAGCACAGTGAGAGACGAGCCCCGTGTGATGTTTKGGGATGCTGACAGCCAGATTTGTGCAGGGATTTGTTGGATTTCTGCTGTGGRAAGGAGCAAGGACCGTGTCCGTTGTTTCTGAAAGATTTCCTCAATCCCTGTGTCCTCCCAGGCATGGGACGGGGTCACCCTGAGCAGGAGGGAAAGGCTGGCTGCACTTCAAGGCAGAGGAAAAAGCAGAAAAATAACCAAGGAACCAAGAAATACAAATGGCTGTGGATTTTTCCACCCTGGGGACATGGAGAAGCCACCTGGGCCTGGTCCTGGGTAGCCCCACTCGAGCACAGGGTGAGCTCAGAAACCCCTTCCAACCCCTTCCTGTGGTTCTGCCTCTTGAATCAGCTCCCAAGTGGAAGGAAAGAGGAAAAAGCAA